AAATCACCAAGACTTGAATCTACGGATTCTATTATTTAATTTATTAGAATATTAATTCAATTAAATAATAGATATTGCCATACATGCATCAATTATATATATTTAAAGTGTTTATGTCCAAAGTTGATTAGACCTAGGGTATAACACTTACACACAGCATATTTGAAGGCCTATTCTCAGTACTGAGACTTCTGCTAGAGTGTTAGTACCAACCCCTAGGGAATGATTGAATTCAAAAATTACCTTACCTTGCCAATCCCGAAGCAATCTGCCACAATCAGCATGGCCCGGATTTCCAGCGCTAGCACCATCAATATTAAGTTTGTAACAATCATGTTGTGGAGGGTACCATTTTACAAGGAAATGAGTTTTTACTCGTATTGGAACAGTAGGGATGTGAAGAACCTATGAGAAATAGGAGGAAATAGACATTTTCCTAGGTTTAAGAAAACCATTCAATTTGTGTAGCCAACTTTTCACCTTTGCACAAATTTTGTGCAAGTTAACAGCCCCGTCCTTAAATCTTACAGAATTTCTGGCCAACCACAGCTCCCATGAAAGAAGAGGTAGGATAAGTAAAGCTACAAGATGTTCTTGTGTTGAACCTCTAAAATGAGAATGTCAAAGTAACATTGCTGACCACCAAGAAATATTCGTAGAAACTCTAACCCCAAATAATTTTCCAAATTATTGGCATGCTTGAAGAGCAATAGAACTGGTTGTGAAAACATGATGTATTGTTTCCCCATGCCCCTGTGGACAGCATTGACACTTGGAGACAACAGGAATCCCACAACGCAAGATCGCACCATCGACAGGAACCACGTTATTCCAAAGGTGCCAGCAAAAAATAGAAATTTTTAGTGGCATGGTGGGATTCCAAATGATCCTATAAGGAAGAGTAAAAGATCTATAAGTGACCAAGCTGAGCTAGTAGCGACTAAACCATTCCTGCAAGGGGACCAAATTAATTCATTATTACCTTTGCGAAGTTGGACTTGTAAGCGTTGACTTTTCTCCACTAAAGCTGCACCACCCAAAGAAAAAAAGCTTATCCAAGTTCCATTTGCCATTTAAAACTACCTCATAAAGTCTTAAATTTGGGGAAATGATAGCCATCCAAGTGCAGAAAAAGTACCTGAACCCCTCCAATTGTCATACCAGAATAGAGTACTGATATCTCAGATCAACCATCTGCTGTGTTCTAAAATAAACGAGAAGTGATGTGAAAGATGTATCCATATGGATGAGTCTTTAATACTTACAGGAATCTTGGCCATGTTTAGGTGATGATTGAGGTACTTTTATAGCATGAAATCAGCCCAGAGAGAGTGTGAAGAAATAATTCTCCATGCCATTTTACATTGAAGCGACTTGATCACATCGAAGAGACTGCGAATATCCAAACCTCCTTCCTTTTGTGGAAAAGAGATATTATTCCAAGAAACCCAATGACGTTTAAAACCATCTTTAGAGTCTCCCCAAAAAAAGTTGGCAAAAAGAGTATGAATCTCTTTAACTACTTTTATGGGTGGGGTGATCACGGAAAATAAATAGATAGGTATGGAACTTAAAACACATTTAATCAAAGTGATCTTACCACCTATGGATAGAAGCTTTCCTTTCCAACCCCCTAATTTTTTCCTGATTTTATCAAGCACCGGAGTGAACATTAAGGAGATGGGTTTGCCATAATGAAGAGGGGCTCCAAGATAAGTAAACGGGAGGGAGTTTTCTTTGAATCCTGTTGTGGTTGCAATGATATGATTTTTAGACGTTGAAACACACTTGTGTACTATAAAAGCACTCTTAGCCACATTAATTAATTGCCCAGATATAGTTTCATAACGCCGGAGAAATCCCATTAAATTATTAAGGCTACGACGAGTTCCATTAGTAAATACTAAGAAATCATCTGCATAGA